AGCTGTGGCTGCTCCAGCCCTGGAAGTGTCCCAGGCCAGGGTGGACGAGGCTTGGAGCGAGCTGGGATAGTGGAAGGTGTCCCTGCCCATGGCAGGGGGTGGAATGGGATGAGCTTTAAGGTCCTTCTCAATCCAAACAATCCTGGCATTCTTCAATGACCATGTCCCTCTTTCAAACAGTTGTTTTGTGTCATGGATTTATTACAGGCTTTGGGATCTCCTGCCATGGGTTTATTAAAGAATTTTGGCATCTCCTGTCATGGACTTCTTAGAGGCATTTGGGGACTACCTTTCATAGATTTATTAGAGGGGCTTGGGGATTTATTCTCCTGAATTTATTAGAGAGGCTCGGGGATCTCTTTTCATGGATTAATAAGAGATATTCGGAGACCTGCAGTCATGGATTTATTCCAGCCTTGGCTGGTGTGCTGTAGCTAGCCTAGTAATTCCCTCCAGAGCCTGGAATGGCCCAGCCTGCACCTGACAGAATCATCAAGCTTAGAGAAGAACTCCAGGATTACCCAGTCCCAGCTTCACTGCCATCATCACCCCTAAACCACGTCCCCAGGAGCCACATCCAGGCTCCTCTTGGACACTTCCAGAGATGGTGACTCCACCACCTCCCTGGGAAAATTATTCCAATGCTTAACCATTCTTCCAGTGCATTTAATTTTATTTTCTAATAGTCACTCTGGACCTCCCCTGGTGCAACTGGAGGCCATTTCCTCTCATCCTTTCCCTTGGGACACAGCAAGACGTCCCCATCCCACCCCACCTCCTGTCAGGGAGTCGTGGAGAGCAACAAGGTCCCCCTGAGCCTCCTTTTCTCCATAAACACCCCCAGTTCCCTCAGCTCAGGAGATTTCTTGAACCCCTTCCTCAGCTCTGTAGCCCCTCCCTGAACACGGCTGCCCCCAAATTCGGGGCTTTTCACCCAAATCCAGCCTTCCCACTGTCCCTTTGCTCACATGTGAGCAGGGAGCGACTTTGATCTCGCCCTGCCTTGAACCCAGCAAATTCCAGAATGCCTGGCTGGGATATCCTGGGATAACCAGGCCAACTGAGGGAGCCTTTGACAAGTTGACAAACACTGAGGTAATGATCAACTTCACCTGTTCCAGGATTGCCTTTGCACCCACTCCTCACACTGAAGGTTTGGATGGAAATTTCGTCCTGCAGCAGGAGGGAGGGGAGGACATTTCCCTGCTAACCCTCACCTTATCCCACTTCGGCAAACAGCTGGGTGGCCTCACAAAATACATAAATTAACTTGTTTTTTTATGAGAAAATGCTGTTTGCTAAACTGTTCAGCTTCCCAATGGGCTTTATAAAAATCTGAACATACTTAGTAGTTCTTACTGTGGTGTTTTATTCCTTTACTGCTTATAATATTCAGAGAGTGTTTTAGTCTCTTTCACCTCAGAGCTTCTCCCCTTGACTCTGAGGCTCAAAAAGGTTGTTTTCTGAAAAGCCATTGTGACATAAGACTGCTCTCTGCCATCTTTCCAGTAGAAATAATTAAAGACATTGGTAAAACACAAAAAATAAATAAGGCTGATCTGAGGAAAGCAATATACAGTTCATTTTGGTGCACTGACCATGGTGTGAAGGGAGATGAGAGAAGTTGTGTGCCTGAGGGATGGAGGTTGTGTGGCTCTGAATATCCTGAGGTGTGGCTTTTTTCGATTTTGGCATCAGTGGCAATGCTGTGAGGCTGGGGAAATCACGTCTGTGCTGAACCTGCTCCTTTGCTGAGTCAGGTGTGCAATGAGGCCCCAGTGGCTGCTAAAACGCATTTAGTGCTGGTCTCATTCCTGGTTGGGAGGAGTTTTCAGCTGCCTGAGGGCCACCTCCCAGGCTGGAAACAACTCTGTAAAGTGAGAACTTGGGCTGTACGGAGAGAGGTCAGCCTCTCTCAGCACCTCTTTGTGGCATCCCTGGCACTGAGGAGGAGACTCCTTCCAGCTCAGAAGAGCTCTGAGCCTTGTCCTGAGGGTCTCCTGCTCCATCCCTGGAGGAATCACCTGAGGATCCCTGTCCCCAACATTGAGAGGCTGTTTGCATTTTTTCCTGTGGGGCTGGGAGCTGTGCACAGCAAGGTTGCATCCCTGGGTCCTGGGCAAGTTGTAACACAAGACACAACAGAGATGTGGAGTCCTGAGGGATCCGAGTTGCAGGTCAAGGAGCTAACTGAACACCGAGGAGCTGCAGTGACTCAGCATTGAAAGGGTCACAAAACCTTGGCCTTTCAAACAAGGTGGGAAAAGGCAAAACGACCAACCAACAAACCAAAGCTGTGAATCATTAACAACAGGATTGCCAAAAGGCACGGGCAGCACAATCCACCCTACAGTCGCTTTCCAAAGCACCTTCAGGCTACAACCTGCAGGAGAAATCTCTTCCAAGGACCCTACTCCAGCTCACATGGCTCTGAGGCTTTGCTGTGCCTGGGTTTCCATCCTCCTTCTCCTGCCCGGCCTCTCGGATGGAGGGAAGCTCCTGGTGGTGCCCATGGTGGGAAGCCACTGGCTGAGCATGCAGGAAGTGGTGGAGGAGCTGAGCAAGAGAGGACACGAGGTGGTGGTGCTGGTTCCCGAGGTGAGCTGGCAGATGGAGACGACGCAGGCCTACAAGGTGGTCACGTACCCAGTGAGGCAGACCCTGGAGGAGCTGGATAATGTCTTCCGGGAATATGTTGCCGTGCACCTGACAGAGAAGCCTTTCCCTCTCAATGTCCTGGCAATGTACAGGGCCTCGGTGAACAATTTCAGTACTTTCTTTGGGCAGTGCAAGGACCTGTTCCGCAGCCAGGAGACCCTGAGTTTCCTCAACCAAAGCGGCTTTGATGCCATCCTGACAGATCCGATCTTCATGTGCGGGGTCATCCTCGCCCATCATCTCTCCCTTCCCTTTGCGTTCATCATGAGGGGGTTCCCTTGCAACCTGCACTTTGCAGCCCCACAGTCCCCGAGCCCTCTGTCCTACATCCCGAGACTCTTCAGCTTCAACTCAGACCACATGACTTTTTTCCAGAGGGTGGAAAACGCCCTGATTTCCCTCCTGGAGCTTGGGTACTGCAACGGTTTCTTTGGGGAAGTACTTCAGCTTTCCTCAGAAGTTCTTCAGAGGGATGTGTCCCTCACGGACCTCGTGGACTCCGCCGCCGTTTGGATCCTGAGGTTTGACTTTGTGTTCGAGTACGTCAGGCCTGTGATGCCCAACATGGTCTTTATTGGGGGGATCAACTGTGCTAAGAAGAAACCACTGCATAAGGTAATGTTCCTTCACCTACAAATTGTACATTTCCCAATGAAAAGTCATTCTGTGGTTTCAGGAAGTTCATCGCTATTGACTTTTTTTTTTTTTATTTCTGTTCATGATTGAATTTGAGCAGGTTTGGGTAGTTGTTTTCCACAGGCTAAAATCCCAAGTCTCTTGACAGCGACCTGCTTGAATTAATGAGGGTTTTCTAACAGGCCAAACAAAAGAGGCATTTCACCTACCTGATGGAAATGACTGTCCTCAGTGAATGTGTATTAAGCACCATCCAGATCCAGTTTTGATTACATTTTAACAGCAGCTGACACATATTTCTCTTATCTGATCAAAACCCCATACGTCCTCTTCTGTTTTTAACTCCAGGCTCATCAGCATCAGTTGATTCACTTTTCACATGTATTTTCATGACAAATTATTTCCAAACTGGCTGTCTGCGTTGAGTTACTCCTGTTGTGGGGGTGAAATATAAATGTTGTGTTGAAATGGCAAGAAATAATCATACGATTGTGGATTTGGTGAATGACACTTGAATGCAGAACTGAGATCAGTTTTCACACCTACTTCTTGACATCTACTTTTACCAGAGTTGCTCTGCAGGGTTTTTAAAGCTAATCTAGAAATCAAAATCTATTTTGATAGTCACCATGTAATCTCTAAAACGATAACACTGGACATTTCTTTCCAGGCACAAAGCAGGACACAAATCTCTTTCCTGGGAAATTGCTCCCTCACTTCCAAATTGTGGTCACGCAATATCTCTGCCCAATGACTTTGAGCTGAAGGGGTGGGTTTTTTCTTTCTTCTTTCAGATTTCTTTTTTGCTCTTTGACAGGCTTATGGAGAGCCCTCTAAACCTGATAAGGAAGGCAAAGAATGCAACTATGAACTAGAATATTAGGATAAAATTATTTCTGAGGTGTTCTATCACATTAAGCTCACAACAGTGACACTAGTTTGAGATTTAAGAGGCAAATTCTTCCTGGTTACACCACACAAGTCTTTCGTTTTCTATCCTGAAGATCTCAGAGCTACGAAGAGCTACATGGGTGGAGACATCCTGCCCTCATTTTATCTCTGCCAGCTCCTGTCTTCACTCTCCTGTTAGGTGAAAATCACATGTTCCATGCACCTGGAAAAATCTTGCATTGGCTGTTTTCAGCCAACTGGTTTTGCCATTGAAAAGCCAATTGAGTCCAGAGTAGAAAACGCAGCAAGCAGCAACTCCCAAGTTAATTTGGTCAGCTTTTGTCACAGCAGTTGCAATAAATTCTTTGCGTCCAGATTCCCTACATTTAATGGGAATTCTTTCTAGGTCTGTTCAGTCTCCTGCTTTCAGTCTGTGCCGTCTCCCACCTCTCCTGCCTCTCTGGCCCTCTCCAGAAACTGGTTTTCCATGTCTAAGGGTGGTTCCTCCGTGTCCAGTGTGACAGAGTGGAGCTATTACACGGAGTGCCAGCACCCTTTGGGTGTCATGAGATGAATCCCTTTGCCTCAGGCTGCATGGATTTCTTTCTCCCGACTGAGGATGCTGGGAGTCCCACCACCATTTATAAAAAGAAGGGAGAAACTCTGTGATGATGATGATGATGATGATAGTTTTTCATCACAAGGACTTCTTTCTCAGCACCATCCAAAAGCCTTTGCTCTGGCATTGCTTTTACTTGCACAGTCCAAACACTCCTGCTGTGGGATTAGTGGAAGGCATCACACCTTCTCCTACTTTTGTCTTGCTCACAATACATGAAAAGGGGTTTCAAGACCGCAAACAAAGACGAAAACTCCTTCTTTGTGTCCCTGTGCCGGCCTCCTTTCCTTTTGTTTGCCCTGAACCCATGCATTAGTTCACTTTTTTGGTGTAGTGCCAGGAGGAAGCAAGCCAATCGGGATTGTTCTCCTCACACTTGGGATTGCATGGTACACCCTGGTGGCTGGGCCATCTTTGTAAGAGCTGCAGCTTTGGCTGCTTCCAGGGCGTGGGAATTCAACATCAGCCTCATGTCAGCCTCAGGAATGGAGTTACATCCATTCTGCTGGGTGTATTGTTGCTATTTTCTCAGTGTGTATTCTTGCCAGGTCAATGGCTCTAACCACGGCTATGGTTACAACGTGACACCCGTGCTCTTGGTGTCACAGACTTAGTGCTGACAGACTTTGAAGCTTAAACATTAACAGAAAGTACAACTGTTTTTCTCTGAATACGGCTTCCCTTCCCTTCCACAAACATGGGCAATATCACAGGCGAATCACAACCCTGTTGGGAAGTTAAATATTAATTCCTGTAGCCAACAAATCCCCTGCTTAGTCTGCATGGACCATCATATAAAGGAGGGTGTGGATCCCTGCGGAGCAGAACCCTCTGGTTCATGCCCACCAAAATGGCTCTTTTTTACCGAGGTACCGGGGTACTTCTCCTCCTGGCACTGTCTGTAATCCTGGCTGAAGGTGGGAAGATCCTGGTGGTACCCCAGGATGGAAGTCACTGGCTCAGCATGCGCCCAGTAGTGGAGAAACTGCAGCAAAAGGGACACCAAGTTGTTGTGGTTGTACCCTCAACCAGTCTGTATATGAAGTCAAAGGAGCCTCAGAATTACACAGTGAAAGTGTATCCAATCCCTTACACAGACGAATACTTGGATGAAATGCTCAAGACCTACGTTAATGCCCATTTTCTTGAACAATCTGTTTTGAATGTTGTTCTTACCTCGTATCAAAGCACGATAGCAATCTCCTCGGTCTTCTTCACCAACTGTAAGAGCCTGCTGCAGAACGAGGAGCTGATGCAGGACTTGAAAGCAAGCAAATTCGATGTGGTTTTCACAGATCCCATCCTGATGTGTGGGCCCCTGGTGGCTGAGTATCTTTCCGTTCCTTCCGTCTACTTCCTGCGGGGCTTTCCCTGCGGAATGGATTCCGCTGCTACCCGGTGTCCAAGCCCTCCTTCCTATGTCCCCAGGTTATTCTTGGATAATTCAGACAGCATGATGTTTTCCCAACGGGTGAAGAACACGCTGGTTGATCTGCTGGAGCTCTTCTACTGTAAGCCTATCTATGATCACTTTGAAGAACTTGCCTACGAGGTTTTCAAAAAGAAAGTGACAGCGACAGAACTCCTGAGCCGTGGATCCTTCTGGCTGATGAGATACGATTTTGTGTTTGAGTTCCCGAGACCAGTGATGCCAAACATGGCTTTTATCGGAGGGATTAACTGTGTTCAGAGGAAAAAACTGTCTCAGGTACAAAATTTTCTTTGGTTTTTATAGGGAAAAGGCAAAAATAGAAATGTGTCATAGAATTGCAGAATGGCTTGGGTTGAAAGGGACCTTCAAGATCATCTCAGTTCACCCCGCTGCCGTCCTGGGCAAGGAATGTCACTCACATCCTTACATCAAATCCTGACTGACAGCAGCTGGGTGTTTAAAGATAGAAATCCTGCATGGTGCAGAAATGTTATTTCCTCATACCCAGCATTCAGATGATATCACATCCTGCCAAACCTAAAGCCTTACCAGACTTGATTAGGACAATTTAAGTGACATAGAGCTTCTATGCAAATGTTTGTCTTTTTTGTTGAACTCAAGAATTTTTGGTATCCTCCTTTCCCATCTTTCTCGTGGACTATCTCTCCATACTTCCATATATCCCCTCTCCTTTCATCCACAGTGAAGGTTCTTGGACTGAAGGTTTTGCCTCTTTGCTATCAGAGACATCCACTAGATTGCTTCCTTTCCATCTGCCTTTATTGTCAAGGTGTCAATAGCTAAGCCCCAAAGGAAATCTGCTTTCAGTTCCATCCTTCCCTTTTTTTTGTTTTTTTTTTTTTAGATTGCTGAATTAGGTTTTAAGCTTTTCTGGGTATGGTTATCTCCTGTCAATGTCCATTTGGGCTTCTGTGTACCAACCTTCCCATGTTCATTTGGCAGCCTTGTCTGAGGCCATGGCCCCTCTTCTGAGCATGCCCTTCCTCGGAGCTGTTTGAAATCTCCCCATGAAGTTAATCCATGTTTTAAACTACCAATATGGGCTCAGAGCAGGTGATGGAGCTGCTGCTCCTTTTGGAGGGCAGGTTCTCAGAAAAGTCCAAGATTTGCCACCAGGCTTGGGAAGGAACACACAGAAACTGCATGGGGGAAAAAAGCTTCAGGTAGGATTTAAAGCCCAGGATGCCCTGGAAAAGGAAATTGTTTCTCATATTCACCTACTTAGGAACTTTTATGAGAGGTTATCACCAGCAATAACCCCCCAGCAATTTAGAGCCAAGAAGGACCTGGACACAGGGTTGAGGTCATGAACTGACCCAACATTGGTCATGAACTGACCCCTCACTGGCCGGGAATGATTCCTGCCTTTGTGAACTGGAGAGGTGTTGTTGGTCTTTGTTGTCTGGAGTACAAGGGTGAAATGCTCTTTTGCAACTTCATTTTATGTCTGGTAGGATAAGGGGTTAGATGAAAGTTATACGGAGAGGTAAGGAAAGATTTTCTGCTGGCTGCTTATCCTCCAAAAAAATGCAAGTCTACATGAAGGAAAATTAGTTTTTCTCAGGGCTGCCTGCTGGTTTTGACTATTGAAAACTCAGCAAAACCCAACTGTACCCAGGTACTGTAACACCGATTTCTCATATGAACCTCTACAGCAAGTTATGTTTCACTGCACAACTTGCATCCATTTCATTAGGGAAGAAAATGCTTTGAAAAATTGCTAAATGACCTCAGTCTATGACAAGTCCGTCAGCCTTCAGTGGCAGCGATGGAAAAGAGTCCTTGCAGTGCTCCCTTGATAGGCACAGTCCTCCCATGAGGGATCAGCAATGTTTCTGCTCCATCCATTCCATGGATGCATTTCTTCCTGGATTTTCCCTGCATTTTGTCATTGGACCTCGGGCGTGGTGGGCTGGCGGCAAGAAGTGCCAAAAAGCTGGGATCCTGCTGAGGGAAGAAGGTGGCATTGAGCCAATAACCTTTGCTTGGCGTGTGTGACGGTGACACGCCTTTCCTGACTCACCCAAAGCCACCTTTGAAATTCAAACCTGCCCTGAGTCTTTCCTAATAATTTATTGATATCGGTGACCTTGTTGCAAAGGTCTGTGGATCTGAAATGGGAGGTGAGACAAAGGGGAAGAGGTGGAGCACGGCTACAAGGCACTGGCAAAGCAGCCCTGGCCTCTCCGGTGCGAGGGCTCCTCTCTGCACAGCCCACACCATGCTGGTGGCACTGCTTCTCCCCTTCCTGTGCCTCCTGAGCCCGGCTGCTGCTGGGAAGCTGCTGGTGATCCCTATGGAGGGCAGCCACTGGCTCAGCATGAAAAAAGTGCTGGTCGAGCTGAGCAAGAGAGGGCACGAAACTGTGGTCATTGCACCGGACAACACACTCCTGATTGATTCCTCGGGTGTCTATGAACTGAAAACCTACCCTGTGCCATTCACAAAGGAGGATATGGAAGAACACATACGGTCTACTACTGCAAGAACTTTCAGCCAAGAGCCTTTCCTGGTGAGATTCTGGAAGCTTTTGGGAGATTACAAGAAGAGTGGGACCGTTTTTCACGCTTCCTGCAAGTCCTTGGTGTACAACCAAGAGCTGATGAAGTACATCCGAGACAGTCACTTTGATGCCCTGCTCACAGATCCCGTGTCACCTTGTGGGCAGATCATTGCCCTGCACTTCTCCATCCCCAGCGTTTTCTTCCTGCGGCTGGTTCCGTGTGCCTTCGAGGTTCGCGCCGCTCAGGGCCCGGACCCACCATCCTACGTGCCACGCATGTTCTCGGAATACACCGACCACATGACCTTCTCCGAGAGGGTGAAGAACTTCCTGATTGCCCTTTCCGAGTCCTTCATCTGCAGCATTGCCTACTCTCCGTTTGAAGAGCTGGCCTCAGAGATCCTCCAAAAGCCAATGACAATGACAGAGCTTTTAAGTCATGGATCCATCTGGCTGAGGAGAATCGACTTCGTCTTTGAGTATCCCATGCCTGTCATGCCCAACATGGTTTTCATTGGAGGCATCCACTGTGAAGAGAAGAAGAAGCCGTTATCTCAGGTCAGTGGCTGGCTGGGAGAGGTTGTGGCAGTCACACCTCTGCCTAATCCAAGTGAGGTGTTTGATAGGGATGTATCTTCTCTCTCCTGGAGGGATACTATTTACAAGAGCCTGAAGTGATGGTGCAAGAGCAATGGCTTTAAGCTGTCAGAGGAACGGATTAGATGGGATATTGGGAAGGAATCCTTCCCTGAGAGGGTGGGGAGGCCCTGGCACAGGTTGCCCAGAGAAGCTGTGGCTGCTTTGAAAGAAATTGGCTAGGAGACAAGACTCCTGTTTTATGCCTTTATTAGGACTGAGCTCTTGCGGTGGGGCCCCGAGGGGTCGCTTGCACCACAGTTGCTCTCACACTGGCGGCTCCAAGGAGGAGGCACAATTCAGCTTTGCAGCACACTCTGCAGAGCTCGGGCTTTCGTCCTCATGGAATAACCAGAAGGCCTGTCATTCTGGCTCATCGTGTAGGGTGGTCCGTCCTTTCCAGTCCTCCTTAGGTCATGGTGATGCAGGAAAATGGTTTCTAAGCAGGCTTAGATGATGGAGGAAGATGATCTTTCATCATAGCTTGCTAGAATATGTTTCTTTGTCCTTTTATTCTTTTGCTAGCTCGTTGTTTTGGTGTTTTGCATGCCTTAGTTTGCATGTTATTCGGTTGCACAGCTCCTGTGGGAGTTGCTTGGTTCTGTGGCATAGCTCCTTAAGGGGTTGCTTTTGTTACAGTGTGGCAGGGAAGTCAGGGAAAGGGATAGAGGAATGTCTCATAAGAACTCTTAAAACACTTCAAAAACTGGTAAGTAATTAACATTACTAATAACCATCGGAGTAAACAAGGGGTACAACAAACAAGGTTTAAAATGGGATAAGAACATAAACTGTACATAATTAAACACAGTATTTTAACCAGGGTGGATTTTTTGAGAGATTTTATTCATGACATGCTCCACCCCTGGAAGTGTCCCAGGCCAGGTTGGACGAGGCTTGGAGCAACCTGGGATAGTGGAAGGTGTCCCAGCCCATGGCAGGGGGTAAAATGGGATGAGCTTTAAGGTCCTTTTCAATCCAAACCATCTACCAATCCATTCTACCTTAGGATATTAAGCTTAAGATATTTAGCTTAAGACTTTCTTTACAGCCAATCCACATAAAATCCAGGCCAGGAGCACAGGATGTGACTCCAGTTCCTTTCTTTAGGTCTGCCCAATTTAGGGATTTTGTTTCATGAGGGCATCATGTGCTATGCTGTGTTTAATTCCAGCTGAAATCACGCACAGAAATTCTCCGGCAGGAATTAATGCCAAAGGAGGCTGGTGAATTATAACAACTCTTCCAATAATTCTTTGCCTCGTGTAGAAGGCTGGAGAATATTTCTTCAAGACCATTAGCTGCTTATCTAGTCAGAAAAATACCTCATTGGATGATGTTCAAGAGCATCATGTTCTTTGTTATGTACCAGCAGCTTTTAAGACAAAGGCTCATATTTTGTGGTGAAGGTCTAACAGCTTCCATGAAAACCATCTGAAATCTTGGCTGCTATTTTAGGACACATCCAGTTTGGATGGGGAAATGTTGATGGGTGTTTGCTGGGGAATCTGTGTTCTAAAAAGCCATTGATTAGCTTGGTGGTGCTCAGGATGTACCTTAGCTTCTTGCTGCACGTGATATGTGTTCTTGCTTGCTTGTGCTGTCAATGGAACAGTCTCATGTTCCAGGGATTAATTGGAAGAGGAGATAGAGGAGAAGGGAACTCTCCTCAGCAGTGATGGATCTGTAGCTAGTGTCATGCTGCTGTCTCAGCAATACATCATTTGGTTTCCTAAAAAGGAAGAAGTTTTATCTATATGAATATTACTTAGAAATCAACAAACTCTCCTCTCTTCTTCTCTCGAACTTTTTTCACCTGCCAGTCTTCCCAGAGCTCTTAGAATGGATTCTTCTGGCTTAGCACCATTCTTATTCTTCCCTCAAAGTCACAGGCTTTTGTACACAAGAATGTGAGAAGATTCACAAGAAAAGAGATTTGCTTTTTACACCTTCCTCAGAGCCAACCTTCCCTACCCTCGGGCTTTGCTTCACTCCTCACACTTCCCTAGTGCCTCTGTTGCTCTGTTTTTTTACTGAAGTCTTTTTCAAATTGTTACTAAGCCCCACTTTTATCCGGGCAGTGCTTTCTCTTGTCTCTTCTGTCCATCAGAGCTGGTTAACAGCTCCTCAGGGACAAGGCCAGGCAGATCCTCTGGAAAAGCAGCAGTATACCCTGCCTGCAAGCAAAGCCATGGAGCAGCTCCAGCGTGGAACCAAATTCTTCTCTGAGGGCAAGGTTCCCTCTTTTTTTTTTTTTTTTCCCAGGGGATAAAGACCGTAGTCCAGCAGCAATATTTATTGCAGAAATACTGATTTCACTCCTGATTTCTTCCTATTGCTCCTGGAAGGAGAAAATGATGGAGAGAGATAGGTCAGGATGAGAACAAGGAGTGGTGTGTGTGACAGCATCAATCCAGTGTTTTTCCTTCACTGATGCAAGCCTTCCTGCTTCTCCCATGGATTAAATCAGTCCCTGGTAGTGTTCCTGACTCCAGTGCTGAGCCATATGTAAATCCCAGAGCCTCTTCCTAAGGGTTTACGTAGATAGTGTGCTGTGTAGTGGCACACTTTTATAATTTTAAATATAACTCACCAAGCATTTCAGAACAACTGCAAAATGCTTCTCAAAAAGAAGGATAGAAAGCAAGCATTTTTATATCAGCAAGCCTGATTATTTCCAAGTGCCAGCACTATTCTAGGGGATTTATTTTGGCAGAGCCTGATTTTATTTTCAATCTAGCATCAATCAGCACAGATTGAGGTGGAAGGAAGCCTCAAGTACCAAGCCCAAGTTCTGCACAACCCACATTTATTTATCACTTAAATGGTTCATCAGTGCCTTCAATGGTTACCAGTGAATGGTTCTGCTGGAAAAGCCAGGTCATTAATGGGGGTATGTAGGCTATATTTAAAAGCTGCTAGGACAAGATAGATGAGCAGAATTTGGATTTCTGGGAACATGTCTCCTGTGGGTAAATACAGCTCCTCAGTTTCTTCTTTCATCAGGGATTCTACTTTTCCTGTCTGCTGTGCTCAGCCAGTGATAGGAAGCTGCTGGTGGTGCCCATGGATGAGAATCACTGGCTCAGCCTGTGCTCGCTGCTGGTGGCCCTCAGCCAGAAAGGCCACCACATTGTTATAAATAAATTCAGCCATATTTATCAATAATACATTTATTGAAAAAATTGCAAAAACTGAGTTATGGAAACAACCACAATCACAGTCAGCGTCGAGCCCAGGATCGGCGCTGGGTGAACTCTGAATCAACCTCTATCGCACTGACTCCCCCAAGTTCACCGCCTGTCCTTTGGAGAGACGAGGTTTTATACAGTTTTTACAGCCTGAGGCTGTGCAGCCTTAGTTTTTTCTTTCTTCCAGAGTCTGTTGCATATTCATATTTTCTGTTTGTACTAAGTTTCCAAGAAAGGGAGGAAAGGTTTGAGTGGTTTTTGTGGGAACTGAGTATTGAGATGCATGGTCTGGAGAATCAGATCAGGTCGGTATCAAGTGTAAATCACAGGGTTGTTAGTACGCCTATCTTGCTTGGGTGGGCCTTGTTCTCCTTGGTGCCATCCTGTTCTGCAAATTACCCTTCTCCTTTGGCTCCTGGCTGTCACGTTGCAATTCCTTGCTGTACATGTGTGTTTGATATTTGTAACAATTTTTATTTCTTTTTTCTGCTTATATACATGTACAATAAAACACGAATTATACAACTATATATTACAATGTTGTCATCATGGCACCAGATGCAAACTCAAGCGTGGAGGCATCTGCATATTACACCCTCAAAAGGTATCCAGTGCCATGACATAGGGAAGAGCTGAGAGCATGTGTGCGCTCCCTTGCTGTGAGAAATGAGCCTCAGTCTTTAAAATGTTAAAAGTTTAATAAGGGATAAAAAAGGACCTTTACAGTGCTGGATGCATAGCCATAGCTAGATGCATGCCAGGTAACAACTCTTCTTATCTACTTTTTCACTGCATTGATGAAATGAGTATTTATGAAGATTATATATATTCAAACATTCCTTTGAGTTCTTTTACATGTTCCAGGAATTCTTTAGCTTGGTTTGACCCATCGTGCAATAGTGTAGATTTGATTTTTGAGAGTTGTGTATGCCGTTTTCTCACAACAACAAATGGGGAGTTATTCATAGTCGAATGTTCAGTGGCAGACATCCTCTTCACATCGTTTCTTTTGTGTTATCTGTGTGGTTCTTTCAATGTTATCTAATCAGATAGAGAGTTTTAGCTATTTCCACAGACTTATCTGAGTTATTCTCACTATTGTCCATTAGTTACAAAAAAGCCACTTCTGCAAAACTTAACATTACAATGCACAACACATAGTCTCTATTTCAATATTTTGCAAAAGTCTAAACTATATGTTTATCACACTAGTATATATATGAGCTACACAGGGCCAGGACATTGGCCACAAAAACTGACAAATTATACCATATCAAAAACAGTTAAAAGTGATTACAAACTGTACTATATCAAAATCATTATGAGTAATAATAATTTGCAAAAGCCAATGCATAATAGTGAAAGCTAACAACTACATGGTTATTTATAACTCTTGAGAATGATCTTGTAGCAGCATGTGCGATGGTGGTGATGGCTGCTACCTTCTGAAAGCGTTCCCAAAAGAGTCTTTGTATGGAGTTCCAGTGAAGGTGTACTGCACCCACACATTGAAGGTGTCCAGGGACAAAGACAGGGATGATTGGAGGGTCCAGGATTATATACTGGGAAGCAGGGGTGGATCTGAGGGTCAAAGGCCAATGGGAATAGGGGAAAGTGGTGCATAGGCGGAGCAATTTGCTAAGGGGGACCAATAGGATAATGGAGGCAGAGAAATGCACTGAACTGGGGCCAATAGGGAAACAGGGAGGGAAGAACATTCTAGGGAAAGTACAGATAAGGTGAACTGGGGCTGAACTGGGTGACATAAACTTGAGGAACCAATGGGAAACAACATATTAACATACAGCTGCAGAGATCTGTGGGAGAGAGGTGTCTCTAACCCCGAACTGGAGGCATTGTTTAGGGCCTCCTTTCCACAACTGGGGTGTGGGGATTCTAGTCACAGGCCTTTGGACCTCCACAGCCATAGGCCCCTGGGCCTCCACATGATCTTTTTGAAGGAAAACCTTTTCATCAAAGAATTACTGCTGTCCTTGAAAAAGTCTGGCTCATCCCCAACCTCTACACCTCCTGTGACAGTCTGCTGTGCAACAAGGATCGGATGCAGTATCTCCAAGGCAGTAAATTTGACATTGTTCTCATGGACCCTCTTGTATCATGCAGACAAATCCTGGCTCTGCGTCTCTCAGTCCCATCTGTTTTCTCTCTCCAGGGATTTCCTTGCAGTTCAGCTTTGCAGGTTACTCAGTGCCCATACCTGCCTTCCTACTTTCCAAGAGCATTTACACACAGCTCAGACCACATGGTGTTTATCCGGCATGTGTAAAACTCAGTTCTCAAGTTCACAGATTCCTTCCATTTCCATTCCACTTCTTTGCCATTTTGCCTGTTTCCCATTTAAACTTCTGGCCTCAGATGTTCTTCACAGACAAGTAACAGTGGAGGAGCTCTTAAGCCATGGATCCATTTGGCTTGAAAGAACAGATCTGGGGTTTGAGTGTCCCATGCCAGTGATGCCCAACATAGTTTTTATTGAAGGTATAAATTGTGGAAAGAAAAAGCCACTATCTCAGGTCAGTGATTGCCATGGTAAAATATATGAATGTTAAATGCTGTTTGCAAATGCTTTGTGTGTCTCTGTGTCCATTAATTGGTTTTACTGTTACAATTAATTTTTAAAAACAGGGAATCCTTTTGGTTAATAGACCCCACCTTTCATAATTTAGAAATGAAGCACCATGATGCACAAAGTGGTAGATAATGTTCTGGTTGCACTGGCAGCCTCTGCATTCGCAAGAGCTTTATGCTGCCTTCCCAGAAGTTTCTCTACAAAGGATGTGCCTAGAGCCACAATAGTTTTATAAATGTCCTTAAAAATATTCTGGTGCAGGCTATCAACGTCGACACTAAATTATTCTGTTGTCAAAATTACTTCTGTGCAATAATTTTCATGATTAGGGCTTGTCTGCAAATCCTATCTGTGCATTAATATTGTTTGCTTTCATGACCCAGGGGCAAACTCTTCCCAGACTGATCTAGAATGGCGTTTCTGAGTTGCTAATCCAGTTTTAAGTACAGCTGGCAAAAACCATGGCTGTGTCCCTCCTCCTTCCAGCCTCTACTTCATCCTTCCAAAAAGAGGTTTTGCAGGGAAATGAACTTTGATAGCAAATTTTCCATTTTCCTCGCAGTGTCACAATATAAAACTGGTGAAGAATCCAGACCATTTCCCATGTGAAGCTTTAATATTTTTTCCAGTCTTTTGCAAACAGAAAATGATACGGAATATCAGTAGAGAAGGAATAATCTTACACTGAAAATTCTTGTTTGGAAAGTGGAAGATCTGTTAATCAGCTCTTTTGAGCAGACCACTTGTTGAAGGATCCCCCATTTACTTAAATCATAGAATGTCTCCTAGGAGGATCTGTCCTGTAATCTTCCCAGGCACAAGGAGAGGCTGACAGATTGGTAGTTCCCAGGGAATTCCTTTCTGTCCTTTTTCAAGGTGGGTCCAAAGTTTCCCTTTTCCCTGTGACTTCACCTAACTGCCAGGACTTTTCAAGTATCATGGAGAGTGCCTTGGCAACTCCATCAACCAATTCTCTCAGGACTCTGGGATGCATCTCATGGGGTCCCATGTGTTTGGGTCATCATGTGCCCTTACATTTGGGTTCCTCAAGTGGTCACCAAGGTGATCTTCTCTTACACTTGGTAGAATTTTGCTTCCCCAGCCCCATCTTGCCATCCATCTACTTGAGAAGTGTGGGAAGAGAGGTTGACGGTGAAGGCTGAGGCAAGAAAAGTTCTTGAGTCACTCGGCCTTCACCTCATCCATTATTACCAATTTCCTAATCTTAGGGGGGTGGGGGGGAAACACTACCTTTGACCTTCCTGTTGTGGCTGACAGACCTGCAGTGGTCCTTCTCGTTATTTTCACCCCTGGCCAAGTTCAGTTCCAGCTGAACCTTGGACTTCCTCACCCCCTCCCTACATAACTAGGCAGCGTTCCTCCAAACCCGGTGTTCCTCCAATACAGAGAGGGGAGTGTTTCCCAGAGTAGCTCCTGCCCTGATTTGTGTTTGCCAGTTGGGATGAACTTTAACAGCTCTTCTGCCATCTTTGCCATGTCCATGTTTAAACATTTACCAAATGCAAATAAGTCTAAAGATCTTCCATAAAAACCAGAGACCAGATTGCTTAAAATCACTAAGCTGGGGATTCCCTTCCCTGGAGGCACTCACCTGATCCCTGCAGGAATGGCCACGGGGCTCAGGGCTTCTCCACCAGTTGTGATCCTGCTCCTGTCCCTGCTGGGTCTGGCTGCTGCTGGGAAGCTCCTGGTGGTGCCGGTGGATGGGAGCCACTGGCTCAGCATGCGGGAAGTGCTGGACATCCTGAGGCAGAGGGGACACGAGGTGGTTGTGGTGGCGCCTGAAGTCTCCTTGCACATCAAACCATCAGAGACCTTTGTGATGAAAATGTACCCAGTTCCCTACACACAGGAAGATTTGAAGAAAGAATTCCAGGCATTTTTTCATTTTTCATTTGAACAAGGATCTTTTCTGGAAAGATTTATTAAAGCGTACCAAGGTATTAAAAGAATCACTAACTTTGGGGTCTCCAGCTGTGAACATCTCCTGCAAAACAAAGAGCTCATCAGGTACCTTGAGGAGAGCAAGTTTGATGCTGTCTTTACAGACCCAGTCTTACTCTGTGGGGCCATCCTGGCGAAGCACCTTTCACTTCCTGCCGTGTATTTCTTACGTGGAATACCATGTGGTTTAGATTTTGAAGCCACTCAGTGTCCCAGGCCCCCTTCCTATGTTCCCAGGGGATTTACACAACTTACAGACCTCATGACCTTTCTCCAGCGGGTGAAGAACCTACTTCATGACATCCCAAATACTTTCCTCTGTGATTTTGCCTTTGAACCCTATTCAAAATTGGCATCTGAGTTCCTCCAGCAGGACGTAACTGTGCAGGATCTCTTACGCCAGGGCTCTGTTTGGCTCCTGAGGTCAGAATTTGTTTTAGAGTATCCAAGGCCTTTGATGCCCAACATCATTCCAATTGGAGGAGTAAACTGTGCTCACAAGGAACTGCCTCAGGTGAGTATGGTGTTAATCCTTGCCTTGATGGATTTCTGTGTTAGGATGGGGGGAATTTTTTTATGCAATAGGCACTGAGTTCCCGTTTCTGCTGAGTGAGGTGAATCATCATGACAGGAACTGTTTTTCTCTCCTTCCTCCTGACTGTATACTGCCAGTATAGGCAACTGTTCCTTCTGGCTTTTAAAGGCTTCTTAATTGAAGGGAATCACTGGGGTTTTCTGGTGAAGGTCTGTGATGAGACAATGATTCCACCAGAAAGAGTGCTCAGCTCCTGCCTGGAGCAGGTCAGATTTGACACATCCAGCATGGCTGAGGGTTTGGGTTTGAGTGCAGCCTTGGTGATGATGCCAAACTTTGGGTTCCCTGGGATACTGGCAAGAGCCCTGTGCAGTTTTCCTCCTGAAAAGCTTCCTCTGCTGCTCCAGGGGAGAGCCTGGTGAGTTGGGTGAGTTCTTTTGGTGCTCTGGCTTTCTCTTCAGTCCTGTCCCTTAGGACTGGTGTGATGTGGGCTGGGATCATGAAGCCCGTGGCTATTCCACCCATCCCCAAGTGTGGAGGTGGCTGTGACATCTGACAGATATCCCCATGCACATCAGGATTTGCCACGTGAGCATTCACACAGCCCCACCACTGCTGGACAGCATTGGTGCTTTGTCAGTGGCAAAAACAAAGCCAGAAGTGGGTCCTGAATTGTTCTGTGGAAGGTCCCCCTCACAGAGTCGTGTCAAAATTTAACACTGGCTAGAAGCTAGGCACCCAGAAAAAAAACTTTTATTCATTCTCTCCTGTTATAATTCAGCAGACAAGGGGAAAAGGAAAAACAAAAGGGGCTCATGAGTTGAGGTAAGGATTTGGGAGAAACACTTTAAGGGCAAAAGAGGCTCAAAACTTAAAAGATATAAAGAAAAAATTATTAATAGAATTAAAAGAGGATAATGAGAACTAAAATAAACCTTTAGAATACCTTTCCCTGCACACCCCACCCTTCTTTCCTTCCCACCAACAGTGCAGGGAGACAAAACACAAGGGGTTTTCAGTCAGTTTGTCACTTCTAAAAAACTTTCTTCAGTTTGCTTAAGGAGAGGAGTCTTTTCTACTGTGCCATGGGGTCTTTTTCATGGGACAGTTCTTTGTGAGCTTTCCCAATGTGGTTCTAATTTTCATGAGAAGCAGTCATGCCCAACCTGCTACAACGTGAGTCCCTCCCAAGGCAAAGCAGTCTTCTACAACTTGTTTGTGTGGGTCATTTTAGTTCATGGGCTGTAGTCTTTTAAGGATGAGTTGTTCTAGTTTGGAAGCAAGGGTCTTCTTTTTCTATCCCTTGAAGCAAGGGTCTTCTCTCTCTGTTTGAGTTTCTCACTAGATCACAGCTTTTCAGCATCCATGCACTCCAGTGTGAGCACTCTTTCTCACGGGTTGCAGGTGAACCCTGCATCCCCCCCATGCACCTCATGAAATCCAGGGAAATAGTTTGTTGTATTATAGTCCTAACCACAGCTTGCAGAAGAATCTCACCTCCAAGGCCCCTTAGTATCTCCATATTGTTCTCCCTACGTGTCTTCACTTTTCCCTTTTCTCTGACTCAGGAGAGAATTGGTGTTGGTGTGTTCATTTGTTCTCAAGTTCTAATTTATAGAGTCCTGCAGCGCTGCAAGGTTGATCCCCTCCTGGCTCCACACTGGGGAATTCCTCACCATGCCTCCTGCTGCTGGTCATGTGGTCCCTGCTGGCACTTCCTCTGCCCTCACTAAAAGCCAGGTTGTGTTCAACAAGCTCAAGTGTTCATAAATCTCTTCTCAGAAACCTGGCATCATCCTTCCACCACTTCTGTCTTGTCAGGCTGGAAACCATCTTAAAGAGCTTTTCCACAGCTGCTGTGGGGTCTGGGTCTCCTAGAGATGAGTTTTCCAAGAAAGAGGCAACAGGCTTTAATTATAGGAAAGGGGAAGCCTCTGCTGGGCTGAATGGTGATGTGCATGTGACACATTGCACGTGACACATCTGAACATGCAGAATGTCCAGCCAAAGGGAAGGAATCCAAAGTACAGACCCAGAGTCACAACTGCCTCCTTCTTGAGGCAATCTTAAGTGTTCCTCTGATAGAGATAGAAGGGATAGATAGTTACCTGGTGATTCCACGGACTTGGCAGGAATCCCATGCTTTTGTCATATGCAGCCTTTTATCATATCAGGGATTACACATTTACCACCCTGCACATTAAATACCCATCCACAGTTGGGCTGTGGCACAGATCATTTGAGAGCACGACGCAGGAACTCGTGCTCCAGTGCAGTCAGGGATTTCCTTCCTTGGAGGCACTCACCTGATCCCTGCAGGAATGGGCCTGGAGCTCAGGGCTTCTCCACCAGTTGTGATCCTGCTCCTGTCCCTGCTGGGTCTGGCTGCTGCTGGGAAGCTCCTGGTGGTGCCGGTGGATGGGAGCCACTGGCTCAGCATGCAGGAAGTGCTGGACATCCTGAGGCAGAGGGGAAATGAGGTGGTTGTGGTGGCACCTGAAGTCTCCTTGCACATCAAGCCATCAAAGAGCTTTGTGATGAAAATGTACTCGGTCCCCTACACGAAGGAAGAGATGGAGAAAGATTTCAAGACATTATTTCATATTACATTCGAAGAAGGATCTTTTTTTGAAAGATTTTTTAAAGTATTTGAAGGTATGAAAAGAATCACTAACTTTGGGGTCTCCAGCTGTGAACATCTCCTGCAAAACAAAGAGCTCATCAGGTACCTTGAGGAGAGCAAGTTTGATGCTGTCCTTACAGACCCTATCCTACCTTGTGGGGCAATTCTGGCTGAGCATCTTTCCCTTCCTTCCATGTATTTCTTACGAGGAGTCCCATGTGGGTTAGATTTTGAAGCCACTCAGTGTCCCAATCCTCCTTCCTACGTGCCCAGGGTATTTACAGACAATACAGACCACATGACCTTTCTCCAGCGGGTGAAGAACCTGCTCTTTGACATCCCAAATATTTTCCTCTGTGATTTTGTCTTTCAATCCTACTCAAAACTGGCTTCCGAGTTCCTGCAGCGGGAGGTGACTGTGCTGGATCTTTTACGCCAGGGCTCTGTTTGGCTCCTGAGGTTAGATTTTGTGCTTGACTACCCAAGGCCTTTGATGCCCAACATCATTCCAATTGGAGGAGTAAACTGTGCTCACAAGGAGCTACATCAGGTGGGTGCCACTGTTTTTAGTTCTGGCTCTGATGGACTTCTATGTTCAGCAGGGTGGAATTCTGTTTTGCAATAAGAATCCAGCTCCTGTTTAGGGTGAGTGAGGTGAATCCTCATGAAAGGAACTGTTTTTCTCTCACTTTCTTGCTGAATTTCCACTTCCTGTGTAGGCAGCTGTTCCTTCTTGCTTTGAAAGGATTCGCAGTTGAAGGGAATCATCAGGGTGTTCTTGTGGAGGTTTGTGCTGGGACTTTGATGCCACCAGCAAAGGGATTGTCAGAATTTGTGGACAGTAACACAAAATCTTGGGTTCCTTTAATGACCAGCTCCAATGGGATGTCCCAGAGAACCTAAAAAGTCTTTCCTGACTCCAAAGCCCAGCTCTGATGCCTGGGGCAGGTCTGATTTGATACATCCAGCATGGCTTGACTGGCACTGATGGTTTCTATGCAGCTTTGCCCATGATACCAACTGCTCCAACATGCCGTGTGCTTGGGTTCCCTGGGGTGCTGCCAACAGCCCTGTGCAGAGTTCCTCCTGGACAGCTTGATGTTCTTCTCTGGGGGAGAGCCTGGAGAGTTGGGTGATTAATTTTGGTGCCCTGCCCTTCCTTCATGTTCCATAGGAGTTGTGTGGTGCAGGTTGGGGATCACAAAGCCCAGTGTGTGACAATTCCACCCAGCTCCAAGTACAGAGGTAGCTGTGACACCTTACAGACATCCCTATGTACAGTGGGATTGGCCAGGTGAGCATTCACACAACCCTGCCACTGCTGGACACCATTGGTGCTTTGTCAGTGACAAAAACAATGCCAGAAATAGGCATTGTAATGTTCTGTGGAAAGTCCCCCTCAAAGAGTGTTTGTAAATCTGCTCAGAAACCTGGAATCATGTTTCCATCTTCTCTGTCTTCTCAGTCTGGAAACTGTCTTAAAAGAGCTGTTCAACAGCTTTCATGGGGTCTGGGTCTCCGGGAGATGAGTCTTCCAAGAGAGAGGGAGAGTTTCCTTTCCTAGAGGGAAGAAGAATCTCAGCTGGTCTGAGTAGTGATGTGCATGTCAGAATGTCCAGACAGAGAGAAGGAATCCAAAGTACAAATCCAGAGCCACCCCTGCCTTCTTCTTGGGGCAATCTTAAGTGTTCCTCTGATAGAGATAGATGGGAGTTACCTGGTGATTCTATGGACTTGGCAGGAATCCCACGCTTGTTGTGCAGCCTTTTATCACACCAGTGATTACATATTTATCACACTGCACATTAAATAACCATCCACAGTTGGGCTGTGGCACAGATCATTTGAAAGTGTGGGGCAGGAACCGGTGAAGACACAGGATTCCTTCCCTGGAGGCACTCACCTGATCCCTGCAGGAATGGGCCTGGAGCTCAGGGCTTCTCCACCAGTTGTGATCCTGCTCCTGTCCCTGCTGGGTCTGGCTGCTGCTGGGAAGCTCCTGGTGGTGCCGGTGGATGGGAGCCACTGGCTCAGCATGCAGGAAGTGCTGGACATCCTGAGGCAGAGGGGACACAAGGTGGTTGTGGTGGCACCTGAAGTCTCCTTGCACATCAAGCCATCAAAGAGCTTTGTGATGAAAATGTACTCGGTCCCCTACACAAAGGCGGAGATGGAGAAAGATTTCAAGGCATTCTTTCAGGTTTCATTTGAAGAGGGATCTTTTTCTGAAAGATTTTTTAAAGTATTTGAAGGTATGAAAAGAATCACTAAATTGGAGGTCTCCAGCTGTGAACATCTCCTGCAAAACAAAGAGCTCATCAGGTACCTTGAGGAGAGCAAGTTTGATGCTGTCCTTACAGACCCATTTCTACCTTGTGGGGCAATCCTGGCTGAGCATCTTTCCCTTCCTTCCATGTATTTCTTACGAGGAGTCCCATGTGGGTTAGATTTTGAAGCCACTCAGTGTCCCAGGCCTCCTTCCTATGTCCCCAGGATACTTACAGACCTTACAGACCACATGACCTTTCTCCAGCGGGTGAAGAACCTGCTCTTTGACATCCCAAATATTTTCCTCTGTGATTTTGTCTTTCAATCCTACTCAAAACTGGCTTCCGAGTTCCTGCAGCGGGAGGTGACTGTGCTGGATCTTTTACGCCAGGGCTCTGTTTGGCTCCTGAGGTTAGATTTTGTGCTTGACTACCCAAGGCCTTTGATGCCCAACATCATTCCAATTGGAGGAGTAAACTGTGCTCACAAGGAGCTACATCAGGTGGGTCTGGTTTTAATCCATGCCCTGATGGATTTCTGTGTTACGGAGGGTGGAATTCTGTGTTATGATAAAAATCAAGTTCCTATTTTCTGCTGAGTGAGGTGAATCCTCATGACAGGAACTGTTTTTCTCTTGCTGTCTTCCTGACTTTCCACTTCCTGTGTAGGCAGCTGTTCCTCCTGGGTTTTAAATGCTGCTCAGTTTTAGGTAAACACCAGGGTCTTCTAATGAGGGTTTGTGGTGGGATGTTGATTGCACCAGTCATGAGGTTGTTGAAATCTGTGAATAGTAAGACTAAATGCTGGGTTCCTTTAATGAACAACTCCCATGGGTAGTCCCAGGAAAACTTAACAATTCTTTTTTGATCGACAAGCCCAGCCCTGATGCCTGGAGCAGGTCAGATTTGACACATCCAGCACAGCTTGACTGGCACTGAGGGTTTGAGTGCAGACTTGGTGATGATGCCAAACTTTGGGTTCCCTGGGATACTGGCAAGAGCCCTGTGCAGTTTTCCTCCTGAAAAGCTTCCTCTGCTGCTCCAGGGGAGAGCCTGGTGAGTTGGGTGAGTTCTTTTGGTGCTCTGGCTTTCTCTTCAGTCCTGTCCCTTAGGACTGGTGTGATGTGGGCTGGGATCATGAAGCCCGTGGCTATTCCACCCATCCCCAAGTGTGGAGGTGGCTGTGACATCTGACAGATATCCCCATGCACATCAGGATTTGCCACGTGAGCATTCACACAGCCCCACCACTGCTGGACAGCATTGGTGCTTTGTCAGTGGCAAAAACAAAGCCAGAAGTGGGTCCTGAATTGTTCTGTGGAAGGTCCCCCTCACAGAGTCCTCATAAATCTCTGTTCAGAAGCCTGGCATCATCCTTCCATCTCTTCTGCCTTCTCATTCTAGAAACCATCTTAAAGAGCTGTTCCATAATTGCTGTGGGGTCTGGGTCACCCAGACATGAGTTTTCCAGGAGAGGGGGAGAGGAGACAGTCCTTGCCAGGGGAAAGGAGAAGCCTCTGCAGGTCTGGATGGTGATGTGCATGTGACACATCTCACACATGTGCAGAAGTCCGGCCAGAGAAAAGGAATCTGAAGGGCAGTCACAGAGCAGCCCCTGCCTCCTTCCTAGGGCACTCTGGACTGTTCTTCTGATAGAGACAGATGGAGTTATCTGGTGATTCTATGGACTTGGCAGGAATCCCACGCTTGTTGTGCAGCCTTTTATCACACCAGTGATTACATATTTACCACCCAGCAAATAAAATAAGAATCCATAGTTGGGCTGTGGCACAGATCATTTGAAAGTGTGTAGCAGGCGCTGGTACTGCAGCAGGTTTCCTTCCCTGGAGGCAGTCACCTGATCCCTGCAGGAATGGGCCTGGAGCTCAGGGCTTCTCCACCAGTTGTGATCCTGCTCCTGTCCCTGCTGGGTCTGGCTGCTGCTGGGAAGCTCCTGGTGGTGCCGGTGGATGGGAGCCACTGGCTCAGCATGCGGGAAGTGCTGGACATCCTGAGGCAGAGGGGACACGAGGTGGTTGTGGTGGCGCCTGAAGTCTCCTTGCACATCAAACCATCAGAGACCTTTGTGATGAAAATGTACTCGGTCCCCTACACACAGGAAGAGATGGAAAAAGATTTCAAGGCGTTTCTACACAGTTCATTCGAAGAAGGATCTTTTTTTGAAAGATTTCTTAAAGTGTTCGAACATATGAAAAGACTTGGTTACATGTCAGCCATCAGCTGTGAACATCTCCTGAAAAACAAAGAGCTCATGAGCTATCTTGAGCAGAGCAAGTTTGATGCCCTTCTTACAGACCCTGTAGTACCTTGTGGGGCAATCCTGGCTGAGCATCTTTCACTTCCTTCCGTGTATTTCTTACGAGGAGTCCCATGTGGTTTAGATTTTGAAGCCACTCAGTGTCCCAATCCTCCTTCCTATGTGCCCAGGGCATTTACACAACTTACAGACAGCATGACTTTTCTCCAGCGGGTGAAGAACCTACTCTTTGACACCCAAAACCTTTTCCTGTGTGATTTTGCCTTTGATCCATTCTCAAAACTGGCTTCCGAGTTCCTGCAGCGGGATGTGACTGTGCAAGATCTCTTACGGAAAGGCTCTGTTTGGCTCCTGAGGTTGGAATTTGTGCTCGACTATCCAAGACCCTTGATGCCCAACATCATTCCAATTGGGGGAGTACACTGTGCCCACAAGGGGCTTTCTCAGGTGGGTCACACTGTTTTTAATTTGTGCTGTGATGGATTTCTGTCTAAGGAGGCTTCAATCTTGTGTTGCAGATGGGAATCAAGTACATATTTCAGGCAGTTGGATGAATGCTCATGAATTTTTCTCTCCCTTTCCATTTGTAGGCATCTGTGCTATACCTTCATCCTTATAACGTGTGCTCTGCATTTGTTTTTTTAATTTCATGTATTCAGAGCCATTTTGTGTAACTTTGTGTAACTTGGTACTCTCTTAGTGAGTGATGAAGGAGTCTGTGGGGCTGGCAAAGCCTTGCAGTCAGGTGCAATCCCTAATTAGCAAATTGCTGTAGTTGGGTCTGGTGTTTACTGAGAAATGCACCCCAGGCTTCTGTCCTTGTTACCTCACTATGTCTTTCCTTGCTGGTGAATTTTACCACTTCTTCACCTGGGTATTTCCAAAGCTGGGATCTGGAAGAACATGGCAGGTTGGGGGCTCTCAGGTTGAGAAGCAGCCTCTCTGTTTGCAGGCAGATCTAGGAAAATTTTGGCTTGGTGATGGCTGTGTGCAGTGTAACAGCAAATTTCAGAAGTCTCCAGGGGCTACAGTGACTTGGCAGATGGCGCTCAAAGGAGACAAAAGTGCCAAAAGTTTTGTTTCAAAACGCGAGGGTTATCTGGTGCATCCCCCACATTTATCAGCTACCTGAACCTGCTGGTTATGCAGCCTTTTATCCCACCCGTGATTACACATTTACCACATGGCAAACAAAATAAGGTTCACAAGTTAAGTTGTGGCAGAGATTGCTTAAAAGCACAGAGCTGGTGCCAGTGGTCTGGTGCTGAGGCAGGTATCCTTCCGTGGAAGCAGTCACCTGATCCCTGCAGGAATGGGCCTGGAGCTCAGGGCTTCTCCACCAGTTGTGATCCTGCTCCTGTCCCTGCTGGGTCTGGCTGCTGCTGGGAAGCTCCTGGTGGTGCCGGTGGATGGGAGCCACTGGCTCAGCATGCGGGAAGTGCTGGACATCCTGAGGCAGAGGGGACACGAGGTGGTTGTGGTGGCACCTGAAGTCTCCTTGCACATCAAACCATCAAAGACCTTTGTGATGAAAACGTACCCAGTGCCTTTCACACAGGAAGAGATGGATGAAGTTTTCAAAGGGTCAATCACGGATTTATTTAAAGGAGGATCTTTTCTGGAAAGAGTTATTAGGCAGTATCAACAGGTAAAGAAGACCTCAGCTATGTTCCTGGCCACCTGCACACACTTAATCCACAACAAGGAGCTCATCAGGTACCTCGAGGAGAGCAAGTTCGACGCTATCCTCACAGACCCTGTCCTACCCTGTGGGGCAATCCTTGCGGACTATCTTTCCCTGCCTTCCGTGTATTTCCTGCTTCAAATTCCATGTGGTTTGGAATATCAAGCCACCCAGTGCCCCAATCCCCTTTCCTACGTCCCCAGAGTATTTACAGACCTCACAGACCGCATGACCTTTCTCCAGCGGGTGAAGAACATGCTCTATGACATCCCAAATCTTTTCCTCTGCGATGTTGTCTTCCAACCTTATGCAGAACTGGCTTCAGAATTCCTCAAGCGGGAGGTGACCGTGCTGGATCTCCTGCGCCAGGCTTCCATTTGGCTCATGAAGCTGGACTTTGTCTTGCACTTCCCAAAACCCTTGATGCCCAACATGGTTTTGATTAGCGGAGTAAATTGTGCTTATAAGAAGCTAAATCAGGTGGGTCACACTCTGCTTTCTCTTGTTGTTCTTGAGGGCTTTGGAAATCTCTAGGAAGCTGAAAGACAGCTTTTGTTAGAAAGGTGGATTTCAAACTGGTTGTGATTGGCAGAGACGTGCCAGTTCTGGTGTCTGTGAAGGATTATCAGAGTGGAAACGTGGAGAAAGTGTTGTATATGGAATTAGCTCTGGGAGACTCCCCATTGTTCCTGTGCCTCTGCTCCAAGGTAGCTTTGGCTTTGGAGTAGGCTGTTCATGTGATGCAAGACACACTCTGATTTGAGGAGGTCTTCATTTATCCTCTGGCTGATTTCCTCTCTTTTTTTTTTTTTTACCTTAAAGAAGAGTTCTCTGTGCTTTGAATTGTCATGGACTCACAAAACATTTTCATCTTGAAGGTCATTATAGGCCTCTCTGAGAGACTCCTATCAGAATATTTCCAGGTCAGGGTTTTCTTTTCTCTGTGTTGTCAAATTTTAAGTATCTCCTACAGTGAACACACCTTATTATATCTAATTAATCCCTGTCTCCAGTTTAAATCTTCCATGCTGCAGCTTGTGTTTGTTGCTTCTTATCCTGTCACTAAATCTTGTCACTGTCAATATAATTTTTTTCATTAACTTTTTGTCATCCCCTGCAGTCAAGCTGTAGTGTACCTATCCTTGTGGCATGGGCTTATCCCATTCCAGAGGCAAAACTTTGCATTTGCCTTTCCTGGCCTTCATGAGGCTTTCAGAGGCTCATTCTTCCAGCTCGTATATCCCAGGCCAGTGATGCTACTTGGTTTAATTTTCATCCAGAATTGAAAAAATAAAGTATAAGTTACTTTATTCTTCTAAGATGAATGTTGGATTCAAGTCAGCCTTTTTTTAAATACGTTTTCAAATAGATTTTGTGGTTTGCAGAGTATCCTCATAGATTCTATTTTTTAATAATAACTATTCCTGTTGGGTTTTTCAGATATTAGCTTTACAAAATGCTGAGATAAGGCTGATATTTCAGAAAAAGCCCAATCTCACGCAGTAAAAACTGAGGATTTTTAAGAGGATTCGGACTTGGCACTCAGGCTAAAAAAGCAGAGATGGAATAAAGTGCACAGCTGAACCTAGGGAAAAAAATATGGCAGAGGTCTGTAAAATCTGGAAAATCATATCTAACGGCGCAAGGGGAACTGATAGTTTCTCCCAATATTTGTCCTATGACTAACACTGAAATGCAGCAAGCTTAGAGCAAACAAAGCGGGGTATTTTTTCACACCCTGCCCTAAAAACCCCAAATCAGCCTCTAAAGAGCTGCAGATTTTCTTTTTTGTAGACTAACCCTCTGAATTTAAAAGGGATTTAGGGGGTTAATAAGAGGTACAGGCTGTCTGCCAGGGTTTGTAGGCTTACAGGAGAGATAATCATGGGTTCCCTTAGCTAGAATATTTGCTGTACTGTTTCCAGCTTACAACCTTGGCACTCAATTCTGTACTTTTGCTTGACTTTCTCCTGCTATCTCACCTTTGGAAGGGGCTGGACTTGTGGACTTCAGTCTCTGCACTCATAAACACGTGGAGTGTGTTCGCATGCTGCTCAAAATCCAGTGTCACAACTTCTGTGAACTTTTCTGACCTTTTTTTTTAAAAAAAAAACTTTTCTGAGCTTGGCCTTAGGGGTTTGGGCTGAGGGGGTTTTTTTACCTCTTTAGTGTTATTTTATAGGGTTTTGTTTTAGTGTCTCGCAGATGATACACGTTTGGCTGAAATGTTAGCAGAACTGGACTAGGTGGGAGCAACTATGTACCAAATATGAGATTTGAGAGGCCATTATGCAGGGTAAGAGTGTTTCTGCAACTCTGAGTTAACTACCTCAGTATGTACTGCCATCTTAAGGTTTGTTTAATGCTGCTTCACCTCATTATTTGAGATCTTTTTACCACAGAAATGTGGAAATGCAGCCCTGGCAGGTGAGAATTCCTTCCTTCCACCTCCTGTAGTCTTTGGTCTTTCAATGCTACCCCACTGCCAGCTGGAGCCACTGTTCTTCACCAGCTGCAGAATAGGACTGCATCAAATCATGGAACTGTTAAGGCTGGAAAAGCCTTCTAAGATCACAGCCCAACCATTAATCCAGCACTGCCAGGTCTAAACTGTGTCCCCAAGTGCCACATCCACACATTTTTTGAACGCTTCCAGGGATGGTGATTCCATCACTGCCCTGGACAGCCCCTTCCACTGTTTGACAAACCTTTCCTTGAAGACATTTTTCCTCATATCCAATCTAAATGTCCCCACTGATGTCTGAAATTCCTTCCTATTTAGTGCACTTTCCATAAACATTACAGTTCTTCTTGCTGGCTTTCAGGAACCCCTTTTCTTTAGTAGGCCACCTAGAGGACCTCCTCTCCAAATAAACCTTTTAGGGCACACTTAGTCTTATTCTTGGAATAACGCTTAGGATGAGCCTTGGAGTGTATTTATCATGCTCAGGTGCTTTTGGCAAAGGTAGCCATTTCATGATTCAGGTTTCCCATCATTCCTTCTCCAAGAGAACTCTTCCAGGCATGGAGAAACTGCTCAGAGTTCCCTCTGTTCAGGAGGGCTTGGTTGGGAGGGTCTAAAAGAATCTGTCTTCTCCAGCCAGCTCTTGTGCAGGTACCATTTCCGTATCTTGTATTGCTTTTGTAAACTTGCAAACTTTCGGCATCCAGCTTTTCCCTATCCATGAGGAATATGCAGGTGAGATCTGCTTGGGCAGGCCCTTCTGCCCACAAGGGTGGACTTCTACATACCACAGCCAAGCCTTCTGAAATTTGAGAAAGGGACTGTTATTAAGAACTTTCAAACCAATTTGTCCCGTAACCTCTTTACCCTGAAATCCCATGGCCCCTCTTGAGCAAGAGCCACATATTCTGCTGCATCATTGCTTTTCAAAAAGATGTTTAGCCTCGAGCCATTCACCTACAAACTCTGGTGGCCCCGCTTGAGCACAGCCTGTGCTTTCTGCTGTATCACTGTTATGCTAAAAAGGTGAAAGGTGGTTGGTTAATGTGTTACCCGAACTTTGGTGACTCCGCTGTTCCACGTGCCGACTCCTGCTTGCCACAGAGAACATTCTCTGTGAACTCCAGCCACCTTCCTGAGCAGACGCTGGGGGCTTAGGTCTTGTGTGTCAACAGTGCAATGCAATTCTTCTGATAAAAACTCTGTGGAGTGGCCATAAATTTGATTCCTGGCTTGAATCTGGCCCAGGACATTTGAGTGCACAGTAGTGAGTCACTTGAAACAACCCTGACACAGCAAAACCCCTCCATGAACAACTGCTTTTTCTGTTGATTATTCTGAACAATTCGAGATAAATGCAGATAAAAGCACAAGGGCCTTGGTATCACTTTAATCAAGGCTTTTATCAGCAATGTGGCCTTCGAGCTCCAATAACCTGCATCATTTTGTAATGATAAACATTAGAGTCCATCATGATATAAATGAGGTACAAGCAGATTTTTCTTCATGTGCTGCTGAACAACATAAGGAGGAGCAGCTCGTTTCTTTTCCTGCCCCATGACAGTTATGTGGAGGCACCAGGTACATGCTGGGCTTGTGATTCTCCTTGCTTTCTGGAGTCTGGCAGATGGTGGGAAGCTCTTGGTGATGCCTCAGGATGGAAGTCACTGGCTGAGCATGCGCATGGTCCTGGAGAAACTCTGGGAGAAGGGACACGAAATTGTGGCCGTGGTTCCTGATGCTGCCTTGTTCTTGAAAAGCTCCCAGTCCTTCACCATCAAAACATATTCAGTGCCTTACACCCAGGAGTTTGTGGATCAGTCCTATAATGAGCTGGGGGAAAGGAGCTTTGAGCCCCTAAAGCTCTCAGTTTTACTCAGCAATATCTCAGAGCTGACCAACATGTTCTCTTCTGCTTGTCAGCACCTCTTATACGACAAAGAACTCATTAAGTACCTCCAGGACAGCAAATTTGATGCCATCATGATGGACCCTGTGCTGCCCTGTGGGCCAATTCTGGCTGAATATCTCTCCCTCCCCTCTGTGTACTTCATGCGTGGCCTTCCTTGTACCTTAGACTACAAAGCCATGCAGTCTCCCAGCCCTGCGTCCTACGTGCCCAGGACTTTCTCATCCAATTCCGACCAAATGACGTTCCCAGAGCGTGTGAAGAACTTCCTGATCGGGGTCTCAGAGCCTTTGCTTTGCGACCTGTTTTATTTGAAATACAAGAACTTGGCCTCCGAGTTTCTGCAGAGGGATGTAACCATGCAGGAGCTGTTCAGCCAAGCATCAGTTTTGCTGATGAGATATGACTTTGTTTTTGAGTATCCACGCCCCATCATGCCCAACATGGTCTATGTTGGGGGCATCAACTGTCAGGAAAAGAAGCCACTCTCAAAGGTTTGTCATTGCTTACCCTGGGGGTGGTGTTAGTGCTTGTTCCCCATGTGCTGTTTTTAAGTGTTTCCTATAGTGATATTTGTGCTTGAGGCAGGGTGTGATCAAATCCCAGGATGGCACGGGAGTGGGAATCTTAGGCTTTGAGATGATCACAAGGCTTGCTGGAGGGTTTCTCTCCAGGAGAGCTTAGGTCGAGTTGTCACCATCACTTATGGCATGCTCTATATCCAGGTAAATGACAAAATAATTCTAGATTTAATATCCCTAAGGGATGTGGAATGCCAGTTAATTGCAAGAGACTTGATTGGACAAAAATAGGAAATACAGAATTAACTCTGCGGATATACCCAGGCACTTTTGCTGTGCCACTGAACATGAAGCTGAGTGAAGCACAGAACATCAGGGGAGGGGGTCAGGCTGGGGTTTAGGGAAAGCTTCTTCCCCCAGAGGGTGCTGGGGCACTGCCCAGGCTCCCCAGGGAATGGGCACAGCCCCGAGGCTGCCAGAGCTCCAGGAGTGTTTGGACAATGCTCCCAGGGACTCACAGGGTGGGATTGTTGGGGTTTCTGTGCAGGGCCAGGGGTGATCCTTGTGTCAGGATATTCTAACTGAGTCTATTCCATGATTCCATGTGCGCCAACAGCCCAAAAACAGGGGTGTGCAAGGACAGCAGAGGGAGCTCTGTTGCCTCTGGATTTGTGCAAGCAGCAGTGCAAGACAGCAAGTAAGAGGATGGTTGGGAAAGGAAGACTTCAGGATTGTAACTACTGTCCCTTGTTCAGATTCCCCCCGTGCTGTGCAAATGGTGCCGATATCCCCGGTTCGTTCTGCTTTCAGACCATCCTGGTGTTGCAACAGCAGGAGTTACTGCTCAGCTTACAACACGTTTACTATAAGTGAACTCAAGGCTTTCACTTTGATAACTGCTGTGATAGAGCAACAAATCTGGAGATAAACCTTTACAATCCACTTTATATCAAACCTCTGTCAATCTTTGCTTCTTGGTTACGCTCCAGGGGCACAAAACAATCCAAAGGTCAGATTTAAGCTGAGTTCCCTGTCCAATCAGTGCAGTGGACTCAAGGCAGGGGGTTGATCATTAACTGGATGTTAATGATGCAGTGATTGCTGTGTCAGTCCCATTCATGGCTCTCATTCAGCCTCTCAGCCCCACAGGCTATTGGTCATTCCCTCCCTCCTGGTGTCAATCCAAACATTCAACTTCACCTCACTCACTGACAGACTTCCCTGCACACAGATTATAAACCCGATATTTACACACAGTTAAAAATTACCCCAATTTCTGCCTGTTAAACATTAAAAACCCACCTTAGTTAAAATTCAAGTGGGAAGCACCCCGTGATTTATTCCTCATCCCTGGCCACAGTTTCACTGCTGTTTAAAACTTCACTAGCAGCACAAGGGAAATGGTTTCTCCAAAGACAGGATTTCTTTCTCTTGCCTCTTGGGCTGTGTTTTTCCTGCTGCTGTGGACCTCTGGCAAAGGTGGGAAGCTCTTGGTCATACCCATCGATGGCAGCCACTGGCTCAGCATGCACCCGGTCATGGAGAAGCTCAGGGACAAGGGACATGAAATCGTGGTGGTTGCTCCAGAGATAAATTTGCGGATCCATTCATCCCCACTTTACACTTTGAAAACCTATTCTGTGTCCTACACCAAGGAGTTTGTGGAGGCAGAGTTTAAACAGATGGGCCACAGGAGTTTCACACCCCAGCCCTTCTTGGAAAAACTCTCCAAAATTACCAATTTTACAAGCATGTTCTTGGATTCCTGCAAGCGTCTCCTGTCTGACAAAGAGCTGATCCAGTACCTCGAGGGAAGCAAATTTGATGCCGTCTTTATGGATCCCTTCTTCCCATGTGGGCAGATCTTGGCGGAACATCTGTCCCTGCCCTCCGTGTACTTCCTGCGGGGGCTGCCGTGCAGCCTGGAATTCCAGGCCACGATGTGTCCCAGCCCTCCTTCCTACATCCCGAGGTTCTTCACACGCTCCACAGACCGCATGTCCTTCCGGCAGCGCCTGGGCAACCTCCTGGCCACCCTGGGCAGCTCCCTGGCCTGCTCTGTCCTTTATTCCCCCTATGATCCCTTGATCCGCGAGTTCCTGCGGCGGGAGGCGACCGTGCCCGAGCTGTTCAGCCACGCCGCTGTTTGGCTCATGAAATACGACTTTGCCTTTGAGTACCCCAGGCCCCTCATGCCCAACATGGTCTTGGTTGGAGGCATAGGCTGCACTCGGGAAAACAAACTATCCCAGGTTAGTTCCCGGCTTTTTCCTCCCCGGGTTTAGCTGTGGGTGCGCTGTGAGCTCTCTCCGGGAGATGGAGCTCCCAGGCTGCAATAAATGATGCCAGGTGAAAGTGACTGGGAATGCATTTTGCACCGCTGCATCCCTTGAGCAACGAGGGAAAAGTTACTTTGTGGGACACCTCTGCAGTCCCCGTCAAACCAGCAGAAAAAAAAAAAAAAAAAGAAAAGAAAAAAAAG